GTGTTGCAAACAAGCCGCGTTATCTGTTTATTCGCGTTCGTGTTTTTCATTCACATAACTGTGCATTCCATTCAGAGTTGTGCATAGTCCGCAAGGGCAGGTTTTTCTATTGTACAACTTAGTTATTTCAATTTTTACAAGTATGTTTCATTCGTACTTGTGTTGATTTTTCATTTACAAAAAAGGCATTTTTCATTTGATCATAGTGTGTTTTCTATTTATGTGAGCGTATCGTTTCAATTTTACAAAGTATTGTTTCTATTCATACTTGTGTTGTTTTCATTCCTGATTTCAGTTTTGAAGGGAATGGCTTGCCATATTTTACGTCCTCATGAGTAAATAACAGGAAACCTGGGCCATGTGTGGTAAAGGCCAGTGACAGAATACCCTGGAGAAAACAGTTGTGTTCATCCACTGACTACAACAAGACAAGCAGCAAGTATAGATTACGAATCTACACCTAGTATAGTACCAATAGATTGTAATACAATACAGATTATAATATAGGTGCCAATTTCTGGATGAGCTATATACGCATATTTTGTTTTGAAAATTGACTAGACAGAACGTGCGAAGAACATTACCCCTACCCCTAACATTACTAAAACGGGAGTCCAACGGACTACCTACCCTCAAAAAGAGGGAGTCCGCAGCAAAATGAGGGAGTCCGCAGTCTAAGGTTCAAAATTAAAGATATTAACAATAACGGATGTGCTTATTTTAAGATTCATGCAGTTGCACGTTTGCCAAATTTCTTTGGACATTAGCTGAAAAAATACGGTAATTCCGCGAGGCCGTGCTCTGGAACGAACTAGTTAGTATGGCCCAATTTTCAGGAGTCACACGGACTCCTGCATTTGTAAAATCAGGGAGTCCGACAGTAAATCAGGGAGTATTTGACTCCAGGACTCCCGGCCTCCGGGACTCGGCTCGGTCTCCAGACTCAGGGCGTGTTTCGGATGCCTGCTATTCACATTCAAGATCTCATTCTATGTATATTATACTTGTTATTATTATTATTATACTGTACACTCCTACCAAAAGAATAATAATCACATACAGAAGAGAAGAATTGAACATACGCATGTGTGTGTGTGTGTTGGGGGGGGGGTGCGTGCGTGCGTCTGTGTGTGTGGCGTGCGTGCGCGTGTGCGTGCGTGCGTGCGTGTTTGCCAGTGCTTAGTTGCATTTAGAACTGTGGTTCTATTAGAGATGATCGGGGAGGGGGGGGGAATACCTACTTCTTTTGAGCGAAATACCTTTCATAGGAACGAACCGATTATTATATAATGCAAGCAGATTACAGCGTTTTTTTTCTGGAACGCATTACTTGAAAGTGACCTCGTAATGCGGGGTATAACTGTATGTGGCCGAAAATCGATTCCACTTACATCGAATCAAGAGCTAATGATACATCGTATGATTGTAATGTACATATTATTAGCTGTTGATCGAATGACTCTAGTTTGGAATTATGATATTAATTATAATATTATCAGCGGCAAGTACTTACACTGCAGAGTAGCAGCAGCAGTAGAGCGGAGACCAGCACCAGTAGTCCTAGCTTAGATATCCTCATGATTGCTGCACCGTAGACACAAGCATGCTGATGAGATCCCGCCTGAACATATTACTAACACCCGTGCGTGCGTACCCCTGCAAGATTAAAAAATACCAGCTTATAAGACAGACAGACGGCTTATAAGAGAGCTATAAACACATCGCCTTGCTTTCGAAATACACTCATGCACCACGTTTGCAGTGTTGGAAATATTCCGTGGCTGACTTTTTCCCCTAATACTTTTCGCAACGACTTGCTGCAGTTTCACTTTCAAATAAGTCTGTAATCTCCCAGTACTTTTCATAAAGTCTATATCATATCGAAAGTAGGTAATGAAAACAAGTTGTGTATAATTGTTTGTCTACGATTTATGCTACGTCTAAATTATTTCTCCAATTATCTGATCTTGAACACATGTAGGCCTATGGTGACTGAACACACACACTTATTAAACCGCACCTCAGAACTTAATAAGCACGTTGAAAAATTGTGCATCACGAAGATTTAGCACACTTGAATAAACTCAAATAGAGAAACGTGTAAAGCCTAAAAAAAATACATAATGCAAAATTTTAACTGGGGTAAAGATTACAAATGTTACGGTCCCTATAATGAATATAAGACATCCTCAGGATGCACACGGAAATTCTGAACAGCTACCAAAAAAATCAACTGATCAATCATTGCGTAACCAAACTGGTCAACCATTTGCGTAATCAAATCATTGCGTAACCAAATTATGATTAGTATATTTACAAATTTATATTTAGTATATTATTATATACAACTTTTTGTACTTTCCCGTAAGACGTATGTACGCGTCGTCAGTACAGCAAAGCGGCACATCACCGCACCCAGCAGGATCTCGCTTTAGTCAACCAAAGAGAGTGTCATCACGCCATGACTGCTACACTGATACAACAAACACGAACCGATCCGGTCAGAAAGCTTTACTATCGTCCGGCAACAATAGCCTAGAGGCAACCAGCTCTGATGTCTTACTGGGCTGGTACAGACTTAGGCCGCGCCCTCACTAGACGACTGAATGTATGTCACAGTTAAGGTTCAATATAACTGTACGTTCTTCGCAGTTATGGAGCAGTGGGGTTCACAATCCAATATGGAGCGCAACTTGACACTGCATGAGAAGAAGTAAAGAGTGAGAGAAAAATGCCGTGAAATATCATATCTCAGACATGGCGCTCGCGGCACGCACACACGCGCGCGCACACACGCACGCACGCACGCAGACCACACACACCACACACACACACACAACACCAACGACACACCACACGCACACACGCACACACACACATACACACAAACACACACGCGCGCTCACATATGCGCGTACACACTTATGAAATACGAATCTGTACATAGACACAGAATTCTCTAACCCCTGTCTAATATATACGGTATGTACGATCGGCTTCGGGATTGCATACATAATTTAGGTGGCCGCACACACCTGGCACCTGCTGGTTTGTATACACGGATACATAGGCAACGCGCACGAAGAAATACCCCGCCAACGCCAATATACGCACGTCGACGTAACACATTACATGGCATATCCTATTTCCAAATTCAAGTTTCAATTCCTATTAGAAAAACTCCGAAGTTTACCCTACATCACGCATAGCAATAAAAGAGGCACGGCGGAAGCGTAAGAACAACACATACCAAGATGTTGACTAACAAAAGTCGCTCCAATGTGTAATCTACTCGGTTTTAAATTCGACGGGATAACACGGATTTAAACTGTGTCGCAGGAACACATTATAATGCCATCGATAATCTTAGGCAGTAGTAATATGTAATACCAAGAGTAGATAATAGGAGATTATTATCTACTCTTGGTACTATGTAACACTGGTGTAATCCTGCGTGTCATCACAACGCTGCTCGCGCATCGCTGCATTGCTCTTGATTAGAATCAGAAATCATTCTCATCTTTGCGCAAGCAAGAGTGTACGTTTGTCCGCGTCTTGCACATGAGCATAGAATGCAGGTTTCCAGTTCAACAGCCCCAAGAACTAGCTCACGCTGGTTTTAATATGCGTGTTGTATTAAATGCCCGTGCATGTTTAATTGTGAGATGATGCTATGAGCACACAGATAAAATAAACATGCTAGCTCACGGATTAGTCGCTACTATTCTTCAAGTAGCATATATCTACTGTATCCTAATGAGCAATAACAGCAAATAATGATGCTGAAGTCATATACAAAGTGTTTCATCATACCAATCTAGAGAGCAATAAATTGGTTATAATTACAATATTATTACATTTATAATTGTAAACTTAAACAATTATCGGTTAACTACTAATTTAGCTTTGAACAGTACATGTGTTAGATACATAAAGATGAAGACATGCAGCATCACTTGCTCAAACCTACAGACAATGTTTTTACATACATTCACTTTGTTATCAATCACGAGTCACCTACTACCGTAACTTCACCATTTGCATATATCACGCATTCATGCTATCAAGAGCGTATAAAGAAGGTTCCTTCTTTATACGCTCTTGATACTATATCGTATTGGCGTACAGTATATGTTATTGATGTGATTTTCATGCATACCTAAACCAGTCTATGCAGTACAGAACTGCATTCTGTAATGCAGCGGCATGTCTGTAAGTAGGTCATTCTATAAGACATACATATATACGTACACCGTATGAACAGTATTAGTTACTGCTACTATTACAATGAATTATCACTGGAATATTGGTTACACCAAGAATCATGGAAGAATATCTGACAGGATGTGCTGAAAGCTAGCAAACAGGCACGAAGAGACATGATCATGCGGTTAACCCAACAATAGGTTCAACTTCAAGTTCTCTAGAACTATATAGCCCTCCGCTCTGCCACAGGCAGAGCGAAGGGCTATAGTTCTAGAGCTAATTAAGGTTCAAATGCAATTAATGTAAGGAAAGGGTAATCTACATCCACTTAGTTATTATCAGAAATCGATAAAGTAACAAAATAAATACACACTGATTCTTGATTGTTTACTGATACCAAATATTGCCCAGTGCATGGTGGTCTAATATCTAGTAGTTGGGGGAATTTCAGGTTGGATGGTCTTGGGGTATATACCTATGTAGTACTAGTAAGTAGTATGACTATGAGTATGAGTTCAGGCTTGGACACTATATATATATATTATAGGCCCTACTGATGTGCCATTCGGTCCATGAGGTGCTATATATTAGTGTCTAGAAATTCTAGAATTTTAGCTACCACACTAAAATTCAATGTGTTCTTGATGTACTATGTTCAAGTGCTATACTGTCCTGTTTAGAAGTTAGATACAATAATGTATTACCCAACAAGAGTATATACGATACTCCCCTACTCTTATATTGTGTTACAGGCCCAAGCCTAGTTTAGCACCCCGGATTAGTTTAGCACATATATGCGAAAATACATTTGCAGGGTCACAAACTATGTTTGATCCGTACAAAAACAACAAGAAATCATAACTACGATCAACTACAGTACAGTAGAACAACACACAACATTCACTACAATTACAAACAACCGGCATTAATTATAATTTATAAGGCATTACATTAGCACATGTATACCGATGCGACAGGTGCGATCATGAAACAATATACGCCAAATATAACTTACACGTGAAACGCCCGTATCCGTGCCTGCTTGGCTTACACCTTCACCTTGCTGTAGTAACGAAGAAATCCTGCACGAATAAATGACTTATCGAAAGACACGTACGTAGGATAAACAACAGGAACAAACACACCTGATCCGCACCTGCTAATGACCCTGAGAGCGCGTACGCATGCGCGTGTCTACTCGCGATTTCCGGGACTGCGTCTTGACGTCACAAGTCAAATCTTTTCCTATTGGTTAGCATCGTCAGCAGCTGGATTGAAACCTACACTGTTCTGCATCGTAAATTCTAACATAACATAAGTGTTGGGTTAAATAATGAAGTTTGTGTTTCATACGTGACACGATCGATCTATTTTTTCTGCCCGTTCTTCTTTATTTCTTTCGCCCGCACTGCGTGCTTATATAGCGAATGTCGTTCTGCATGTCGTGATTGCAGGCGGTTCAGATTCTCGACGATCAGGAACACATGCAGGCTCTTGGAACGTTTCAATAGTAAAATGATGTGAAATGAACACGAAATGTATTTACTACCAAAGTCTTAATGGTTCTCTACACTCTTTCGCCTATTATTACCGATAACTTCCTGTAAATGCCGTTCATATGCTCCTCTGCAAAGCGTAAGTACACCGCACACACGCCGATGTGCACAAACAACAAGAATAAAGAGAATAAGAAGCGAATAAAGAGAAGAGAGAATAAAGAATAAAGAGAATAACTGAGGCTGCTACAGAGACTCAGATAATACCTAAAGCTGCTACAGAGACTCAGATGATACCGGAAGCTGCTACAGAGCCTCAGTTCTTACCTGAGGCTGCCTCATGGCCTGCTACTTGTGACTCATGCACTCGTGCTTGTGTGCAAGAATAAAGTATTGTCGTTGTTTCGCGGTCACGTTCGCTTCGCTTCTAGTAGTATAGTTACATTTGAATTTTGGGTAAAGTGATGGTAGGTGCATATAGACGGGTATCTGCATAGAGGTTAGATTCATGGCGATGGAGTGTTGAGAGGCAGGAATGCAGTGTCTGTATGTGCGCATGAGGCCGCGGCGGTTATACGTAACGATGTAGACTTCTGCCCGCAGATAGACATCGCATGCAGCCTAGGTGACGTCAAGACACGTTAATAAATAAACTATAATTAAACAAATAAACCTTACTAATAGTATATACACTGTATTATATATTATAAATTGTTAATCCCAAATAAACACATAAATTATATGTGAAATATACGACCGAGCAAGAGTAAATAGGCTACACGTACGGGAACCTATGTCGTCCTAATAATAGGTTGATTGTAAATAAGCACGAATTATATTTATAACCCGCGGTTTGGCGTTCATGCGCTCTATATCGAATAATAATTCCACGTAGACACCGTTCACATACTCATCTATAACACACGATGTCACCGCTCGCACACCACTGTGCACGAATCACAAGTTAATAGTTTTGTGATAAGAAATTCACTTTAATTATCATTCTAATAACAACTGTTATGTAGGCCTACATGGCGCCTACAATCGCTGCAAATATTAGACTCATCATTATCCCACCATAGCCGGTAGTTATATGTCTGTCATCTATTAATAGTATTATAAACGGCTCGTGCACGGAACCGTTTCAGGGGCGGATTCAGACCGTATTTGCCGTATTGGGAAATACGGTCTAGATTTTGAAGTGCCCTTCGAAATTTTGCGCTAAAAAATACAAAAAACAATTTGATGGAATTTGGCTATATTCTTTATTTGTTTTCTTTATCTTCTGATTCATTGACAGGACTTGAAGAAAATCAAAATTTTACATGGTAACAAAACTAGCTTTGATATCGGAAAAAAAGGGAAGTGCTTGAATCATTCTGCATTAATTGCTGGTATGCAAAGCGCAGGCAAAATAAAGCAGAAATAAAATTCTATATGGTTTTTAGCTATTGCTGCTTGACTAAATGTGTACTCAAATGGTGCTCATTTTTGTGCCCAGGGACCCTTGAAATTTTCCCAGACTCCCCGCCATGTGCTTCCGCGCCTGACGGCGCCCACTGTGGGGTGGTGTGCCCTTTTTGGGGGATGTGCCTTTAAAATCTGGAAAAATACTGTAGCTTCAGCCCTGGATCCGCCCCTGCGTTTTGTTCTACGAAACAAGTTGAAGAGGCGGGATAGCTTATTGAACCGTTGCACAATGTAGACCACGTGCCAGCAAAATAAAATAACAAGTTCGTCACAATTTGCCAGAGAAAGTGAATTCAATACCTCTATGTAAAGGAGGGCACGACGCGCCCATATATTTATTACGACAGATCTGTTTCTTTACCGGTTGATATCGAGTGCGAGAGTCGATTAGGTAACAATAACTGTGACGTCACCGTTTCAAGGCCGGCGAACTTCCGTTGGCCTGATCAGGTGCACGTGTACTTTTAAGTTCTAAGTACTATTGTTACGAGTCAGTACGGTTATGCAACTCATTAAGTTTGTTGGTGTCACAGCAACCATGACTGCCTCGTAGATACGTCAACTATTGTACATTTTAAGGTGGCTCGGACTAGTGTATACGGAACTAAAGAAGAAGTCGGACTAACATGTCTCCCGTGGCATTTGTAAATTAAAAATTGATCTATACTCTACGTTTCCGTGTGTCTAGATATTCATGAACGTATTCATTTAGGACGATGCCAGGATCACATGGACTGAAACGAATGTGACCACTTTCCAAGTTTATCTACTGAATATTGGCGAGAACGAGCAAGGAAATACAACACGCCACCCAACGTGTCATGATTTACCAACGCTCACGCCACGGAAAAGGTACGTCGTTATGCAAAACTCTATCAACCTCGATTACAGCCTTCGCTTGTGAATCACGCTAATAAAAGCATGGCATAACAACATGAGAATTTATTCCCGCGACAAGCTGATTGTAGCAAGGATATTGCCCGGTCGCATTGGCTGTTAGCTTGCACGTGGTTTCGAGTTCACCGGGGACTTAAACACATTAGCGAGACTCATGAACGACTTATATTACTAACGAATGATTCCCTACATTTTACAATGAATTATTGGATGAGCTCCATGGAGCAGTAAGTGTAGCGTAGACACGCGCGCACGCACGCACGCACGCACGCGCGCGCACGCACGCACGCACGCACGCACGCACGCACGCACACACACACACACACACACACACATACACACACACACACACACATATATATATATATATATATATATTCATATGAATAAAAATAATCTATATATACCTGTTCCCGTATAAGCTATACAGATATGTGCAGATATCTGGACAGTCTGCGACAGTGAGACACAATTCAGAAGGAAATCAAGGTAGGAAAGCATCAACACATTGTCATGAGCCATATATATATATATATACATTTATAAAACGAATTTACTACCTCTATTTCAAAGAAGGCACGACATGCGCAGTTATTGAATACGACAGGTCAATGTCTCGACGGTCGATATCGGGTGCGAGGGTCAATTAGGTAACACGAAATTCGACGTCACATGCAGTTACATAGCTGAACAATTGACGGAAAGCTAGTGTTGCGCGTCCTTTAAAGTACATGGCAATGTCGCTCCCGTCGCCGGTCGGGTTGCCGACCAAGATAATGTAAGTCGGCCAAATCTACGCGCTCAAAATGGGCAGGGATATGCCTTGAAGAGATTGCATTGTAAAATACGCCATAGAATGTTTACTTTGTTCGCAGCATCCCGCCACAATCCCATTCTTATGCTATTATACCTGCATGAGAATACCGCTCGCGTCGTTGAACGGGCTGCCAGCAAAGATAATTTATTTTGGCCAAAATAACTACGTTAGTGTGTTAGCGCACGCGCAATATTTCACCAGAGGAGTCACGTTTTGTGACGAGTATGAATTTAAGATGGTTATGATGCGAGCATAGATATAGGCATACGTGATGGCTTGTTTATGAAGAAGACTTGTGTTTATGAATAGGAGAGCGCCCTATAGCTAGCTCCCCTGCCGCTTTTTCTCAGTTTCCCACCCCTTTCTTCCTCACAAAACAATATTATCCGGTTGTATTCAGTCCGTCCTGCACGCCTGAAACGGTGCTCACGCATGCGCAATATCACCCGAGAAGAATTATTTTTTACGAAACTTATGCAATTAAAATGAAGAGGAGATATTCTAGCATAGATTTAGTCTTGCATGCCTGAAACGGTGCTCGAGCATGCGCTATATCTCCGGAGAATAATAATATTTTACGAACATTATGCATTTAAACTGGAGAGGGGATATTCTAGCATAGATTAATATGATAACATTCTATCAGTAGACCTCTTTTGAGAAATTGGAAGAAGTCCTTTCATGTAAGGTGCCCGCTGCATATAGAAATCAGTACACAATATCTCTACGTTAGTGCGTTAGCGCATGCGCAATATTTCACTAAAGGAGTTGTATTTTTGGGTGAATATGCATTTAATATGGTTAAGGGGTATCTCAGCGTAGATTTATGTAATAAATTGTTATCAGTTGACCTGTGTTTATAATTAGGAGAGCGCCCTACCCTGTAGGGTGAGAAACCCCTACTTCGTCTTCACCCGTTCTTCCCCTCATATATGTAGCGGGCACCTTACATGAAAGGTATTATTCTTATTTCTCAAAAGACGTCTACTGATGGAATGTTATAATATTAATCTATGCTAGAATACCTCCTCTCCAGTTACAATGCATAATGTTCGTAAAATATTCTTCGTCTCCGGAGATATTGAGTATGCTCGAGAACCGTTTCAGGCATGCAGTAAGGACTGAAGACAACTGCATTATATAGCTTGCTAAGAGAGGGGGAGAGAGAGGTTGGAGATTAAGGAAAGGCGGTAGGAAAGATAGCTGAAACGCGGTAGAAGAGAAATAAGGCTGAGCGGAGGACAAGGGAGAGGTGAAATATTGCGCATGCGCTAACGTACTAACGTAGCCACATTGTGTACTGATTTCTATATGTAGCGGGCACTTTATATGAAAGGTCTTATTCCTATTTCCCAAAAGAAGTCTACTGATGGAATGTTATCATATTAATCTGTGCTAGAATACCCCTCTCCAGTTTAAATGCATAATGCTCGCAAAATTTTATTCTTCTCGGGAGATATTGCGCTTGCTCGAGAACCGTT